CCCCATATGTTGGGCTGTGCTGGTGGAGAAATCTGAGCACTGCAGGTGCGATCCCAACATCCTTTTACCACATCAGTGAGCACTCCCTGGGAACAAAGATCCCATTCCTCTTTATCAGGACTGCTCCTTTGTTCCAGAGTACTAAATATCTGAAGAAAACTATAACCTGTTTCAAATTAACTTATTTTTTATTATCTGATCACTCAGTTGAACAAAATTCACAATTTTGGCACTTCTTCATAGCCTCAGCCATATGCAGTACTCACCTAATCAATAAGTGAAGCTTATTTTATCCATTACTTATTTTGTTATTGTCTACTACAAATCAAGAAGGGAAAAGACAAGACAGACCTGCATAATCAGACATTTGAATTCAGCGTTCTGAAAAACCCTCTGACTTCTGTGCTGCACAGCACCACAAGCTCATAAAACACTGAAGAATCCAGAATAGCACACAACAGCTGTACTGCATAATTACTTGGCCCAATAGCCGTAGTTTTAAAATACTGGTATATCTGTTGCAGGCCACCATACATTATCATCTCATTTTCAATAAAAAGTCTGGGATGTTTCAGACGAGCTTCAATGGAATTAGAATCATGTGTGCTTTGAAATATTTATGCTTGCCTTGAGATGGAAGGATAACTCCTGCCTTCAACCCCCACACAAAATAACAGATTTAATAACACCAGATAGTCCAACTCCTCTGTACCTACAGCAGGTAAAATGAAGTTCTGCTCTGGAATACACATCTTTTCATAGGTTGTAGAACTTATATTTTATGTCATTTACTGAGGTCAATAATAAAATATAAATGTCACAGGCTGAAAGACGCCAGGAGAAATATGGTTTGGCAGGATGGAGGTGCTTAGGGATACATAAATAATAAGTCAATAAGTAAATAAATAATAGACAAAGACCTATTTTATCTTCCATTTGAAGATCTCAAAGAATTTACAATCACTGATTAAGACTTGTAATATTCCGTAAGAAGTAGTAGGAACCTCTTCTCATACACGGGACCATTTGCATCAGCGTAGGTGTGGTTTTTGGAATTAATGACTATCATTTTTGTTAAGAGTTTCTGAAAATCATGGCATTTTAGAGGCAAATAAGGAAAATAGCAACCTGTTCTGTATTACCTCTCATGTTTTAACTGATTCAAAATATTTGTGGGGATTCCTATATTTGGAAACATGGTTGTGTTCTGTGCTCAGAACTTGTTTGAGCAGCCAGTTTTGCACTCACCAGAGTTGCTGACCACAACACAACCATCGGAGTAATGGTCTGTATCTGGGCCAGCAGTTTTTAGACTTAAGCATTTAATTCCCTCTCTCTAGTATCAGGCAGGCACATTTGTAATGTTGATCAGTTTAATAGTAGTGGATTTTTCCTCTCACCAAACAGCCCCTCCTTTTGCCTCTTGAGAAATTTGGTATTTCCCAGTCAGAAGTTGCAAAAACAAACCTTTTGGAGATCTGTATTCCACTCATTACTTCTTATGCCAAGAAGAAAATGACCCCTCCATGTCACTGTATGGCACAGACTGGGGACTGATGGCTATTTGGTCTGGTTTCCTTCCCCCAGTCCTTCCTGTGGTCAGCAGAAAGCCCTCAGCTGTGCTGAGGAGTTGGCCAAGACTCTGAAGAGGAACCACTTTCTCCTTTTTGCAGCACTTTGCTTTGCTGAATTATTACTGCTTATTTCTGCATTCATTTTTCTTCTCTCTCTCTTTGGGAAGATCAGTGACACGTGATTTCCACTTTGTTTTCTACCCTCACATGCTGAGGAAGTCAAGGCAACAGAGACTCACTACTTACATGCCAGTGAATATTTCTTTTATCTTTCTTAGAGCAAATCAAATTATTAAATGAAGACCCACACCTTGGAAAAGCTAAATACAGTGTGGTCTCAGGCCTATCTCCTTTTCATCCAGAGAAAGAATAGGAATGAGTTTGTTCCCAGATATGTACGAACGACAGTGCAGTTGCATAACAATTTCAAATAGTCTTAAAAGAGGTGATACTAAAAGGAAATTTTAAAAAAATATTTTTAAAATCCCAATCTATTTTTTTAGGGAATTGATGTTTGCCACATAAATTTTTATTTCTCACTTTTATCTTCATCCTTCATATTCCATTTGACACACAAGGAAAGGGGAAACTACAAAAGGAGAGAGGAAGAAAGAGAGGAAGAATATATTTAATATTAAAAAAAGATAAAAATATTGTATGATAATAAAAATTTTGTTGTAGTCATCAAAACACTTGCTGACAGCTTCAGTTGAAGCAATATTCCTGGCAAAATGTTTTGAGGAGCTCTAAAATGACTGTTGTTTCCTGGAACAGGTTATGGTATCTTCATACCTCTGAAATGGCTCTGACGTGAGTGTCATTAAAGTGGTTCCACCTCAGGGGTTGGTGTAGGTGAGATCAGAGGCTGCCACTTTAGGTAGGATTCACCTAAATGAAGGTGTGTACATAGACTGGAGGTATCTACCTCAGAGGAGTACCGGTGGGCTCCTTGCACATCCACCAGTGATCCAATCAGTGTGGTCAGTGAAGTCCAGTCAAAGGTAGGGGTCTGTTCTGGCATAAGATGAACAACTCCTTAGACACCGTTAGTTCTGCTTAGTTCTCTGTTGACTCTAATAATTGGCTCCATGGTAGACACCCAGAGTTCCTAAGGGGAATTCCCCATTATCTCTACCTTTAATAGCACACTTCAAAGTTACAGCCTCTCCCAGGAGTTTGGGGACAGGAAAACAGCCTTTATTTCTTCCTTTGAAGATTTGGGTTCTTTATCTGAAGAGTTTTCAAATATACTGTGATTTAAGATGCAAACTCAAACAAAACTATTTGTCTTAAAAGTGAATAAGAAATAATTAACAAGGTTTGTAAAAAACACAGGAGATAAGCCCAGATGTGCAGACAGGTTGAACAGGCTGGGTAGACAGGTGTTTGCCTTGGCCATGGAATAGCTGTCAACATTTCCATAACGAGGAGTGTGGGATATGCTGCTTCTTGTTTCCTTTTCCCAAATGCAGCGTTGCAGACCTGGCACAGCTGTGGGAAGACACTGTTTTTCAGCTCAGCCCACATGTCACGATATCTAGGTGTTATAAGATAGGTATAGCCCGTGCTTTCCAAGGAGTTTCTCTGGATATCCATCTGCTTCCACCAGAGACAGCTGAAGGCTGCGTGTCTTTTGGCTCCTCATCTCTATGCTTGCTTTCCGTGGTGTTTTCCCATTTATTAGCACACATTTAGTGTGTGTTTCTCTCTCTGTTGTGAGCAGTACTAAGGGGAGCAGATTTGTGGGGTTAACATGGATACAGGAGTGTTTTTCATAGCAAGAGCGAGACCTTCACATCCATCCCATACCAGCACCCCTGGCATGAGTGCAGCTCTTTTTGGGGGTGGCATCAAAGCAATCATTCCTATCCCATCATGGAGAAGGAAGAGCATAGAAGTGCTGCCCAGCCAACCCTTAATGAATGTTTACAGGATAATGCAGTAGTTTCCTTGCTGCTGTCTCAGAGTACATGTTTTATCCACATCTTCAGGCTCTTGAGTTTGCTAATGGTTTAATAATGCTTAAGAAAAAAATTATTAATAAAGTGTCATATTATTAAACTGGCAATGAACAAGAGTAAGAAGCAGATTTTAGCTTTTATTTAACTGAAGGTTTTTCATAACATTCATCATGAAATGAATGTTTGCTCATTTCTGTTTGATTTTAGTCAACTTTCCTGCATCTCTCCAATTTTTCTGGAAGTGCCAAAGGCTTTTTTTTTCCCTCTTGTGTATTTCACGTACTTCAAAGCCAACACATGAGTTTCTGTAGGATATTCCCTCCCCTGCATAACCTTTATCTAATTGGTTATGTGTGGTGTACAAGTGCAGTCTATGCACATGGACACCCCTCAAAGATTCCTAGGATAACATGCCAAGGGAGCAACAGGAACATAACAATGACTGTTTGGTGAGAAATAAACTGTGATTTACAGATGACCTTGTGCACACCAGATTAATTGGTCATTCTAAAAGAAGAGTGAATTCTCATTTTAGAGGGGAAAAGGACAATTCATGGCACTGTAAGTGGCAGCACTTGCTAACTCATGGTGACAACAACAGTGGAAAACACCGCTGACTAACAAGGGTCCAACTCCATACATTTTGAAGGCCAAGGAACTGGGCAAAGGTGTCACATAATGCAGGAGAGCAGAAGGCTCTTCAGCTGCACTTTTAGTTCTGCTGAAATCAGCTGAGGGTAAAATCGGTCATTGCCAATGGGCTTGTGTACATCACACCTCTGCACCTTCTCTGGAGTACATTTTCCAGCTGGCTTGTTGGCCCATAAATTCACCAAATTAAACTTCATCCCTGAATGCAAGCTGGGGTCTTGCTGAAGATTTGAGGCTCACATTATTCAGGGGAAATGTAAATGTAGTTTTCCAAACGATCTCGCCACTTTGTGCATGTTCATTAGATGAAAACACGTTACTTAAAATAAATGTTTCTAAACTGAGGTGGGAAAAAAACCCCAACAAGAAGAAACGTTAGACCATCTTTAAATTATCGACCATTTATATACAATATAAAATGGATTCATATGTGCAAATCCGAGTTACATGAAATGTCAATTAAATCAACCCTAATCTCCCATTTTTTTATTGCCTGATTGATGAGGGCTGCTCTTAAGGTGATGAATAGTTTTCAGTCTCACAAAGGACTGCTGGATCCTTTATACGTGTCCACTAAAAATACAGAAAATCCTTCAAAATATCTGGCTCCATTTGCTTCCAAGATGTAGATGGAGTGAGCGTAGGACACAATGTGGTCTAATATATTAATTGTGAGGATCCGATGTATAAAAAATACTGTACATTAAAAAAGAATAAAAGAAAGAAAGACTAAAAATAAAACAATAGTAGATTTAAACTGTTTTATTTTCCGAAGGCAAAACTCTATATAACGTCTTTGTTTTCTTTCCTATAGCAAGTCCACATGCAACACCATCGACTCTTCATTTTCCAACATCACCCATTATTCAACAGCCTGGGCCATACTTCTCACACCCAGCAATCCGCTATCATCCTCAGGAGACTCTGAAAGAGTTTGTCCAACTTGTCTGCCCCGACGCTGGTCAGCAGGCTGGACAGGTGGGGTTCCTAAATGTAAGGAAGCCGTTTTTCTTTCTTCAGAAGTGTTTGTCCTATGTAAAAAATTAACCATGGGATTATTTATGGGGTTATTTTAACAGTATGTTGCGTGCAGAAGCACACCTGGAATAGTTGCTGGAAGGAAAAAAAAAAATTAAAAATATGCTGCTACTGCAAAAGTATTTTAAAAAACAACATGAAACCTCCCCAAAAAACCACTCGACCACATTGTGGTAAAATTAACTTAAACTGTCAGAGAAGCTGGTGCTACAGTGACCTTCTGGGTCCCCCCACAAATGACTTTGCTGCATACGTTGTAACCCTTGTGCAACCAGGGTTAACCAAATATGAAGGCAGAATAATTTTTATTAATTATTTTTGAAGTTCAGGGGAGAGTGGGGGGGATGGAGCAGGAAAAGGGAGGGTGAGAAACAGATGTTTCAGATCAGCTAAGTTCATTAAAAAAAAAATACTGCCTTATAGCACTTTAGATCAAGTTGACCAGTACTTGAACTCAAGATGTTAAAAGTACAGTTTATTATGGTTTGTTATTTCTGTAAGCAGTTATCTTTTCCCCTTATCTCTATGAAAAATTAAGCAGACTTCCAAAGCTTCAAATAACCATTTTCATTTTTTTAATCAAATAAAGTGAATCGTCTTGCTATTATTGAAATAGCATTCCAATTGAATACAGAATTTATAAATTTTATGTAAATCAAATCTAAAATAATGCTCTGAATATTTCATGAAATGTAATGCATGTAACTTTTTCCAGCCAATGAAGTAATAACTGGCAAAATTACTGTTTCTCTCCTGACATACGTACAACTGAAAGTGTTAATGAGAATTAGTTTAATTATTAGCATCTAATTTATTACATTTATTTAATAAGCTGTATTGTTCTCAGTGTTTTCCTTTCCCCAGCAGAAAAACTGACTCTACTTATTCCATCTAGTCCTGGCTTTGAATAATGTCTGCAATATGTTAGCAGATACATTTATGTCTAGACAACAAATCAATACAGTGCTTTTCTTTTTCCTTGAGTATTCATTTGCTTAATTTATCCCAAACCATTCAGCATTATGAACTGTTAGCACACTCACAATGAACATGCAGCAGGGGTCTTCTTGGCAGGAAAGGGACCTAATTGGGAGACAAGATAGTGTTTGAGAGACGTCACTAATATATTAGTTTATTAAAGGGTGCTGGATGTTGGAAAAATAAATATCCCTGAAGGATTGCTTCTTGCTGCAAACACTAGTAACTGCAGTCTTTGAAGTCTGTGGGAGTGCTGTTAAGTTAAATGCAGATGAATTTGAGTCTTATTTATGCCCTCAACCATTTTTGCTCTACCACAAGTGTGATTTGCACCTCCACAACTTTAAGGCTTTTTGTCAGTGCCAAAACAGGTGAAATGAAAATAAGGTCCCAAGTGCTTTGCCAGGATGAGTATTTTGTCCCCAGTAATTCAGGCTAATGGAAACCATAACAGGAATTAAAATATTATTTTCTTTAGCAGTACTTAGAATATGGATCTGTGTTTAAAGCTGAGCTTTTATCATCAATGGAAAAGCCAATGCTCAGTGCCAGAAGAACTGCAGTAAGATCAATTTGCACAGTGCTGTCGAAAATGATCTCATCATTTTTGTCACTAAAATGGAACACCTGATTCACAGCCTGTCCTACTTTCTCTTTGTAATGGTATTTGGCATCTATCTGTATGGTTTTCAAGTGTCCAGGCTGAGTTACATTTAAAATGTAAACTTAATAAAGCTGGGGGAAGGGTTGGCATGTTTTTCTAAGCCTGCTTCTTGTTTTTGTGATACTTGAAAACACTTTTACTTATGAACACATTTTTCTGGTGATTAATTGAAAGACCACACTTGTATAGCTCAGCCCCTTCAGCCTGTGACTGACCACATCCCAGACTAGAAGGGAGGGTGTTTTTTTCCCAATGTGTAAAATGAAGCAGTTCTAAATCCGGTCATTTTTCCATATAATCCTAATGGCAACTAAAACATGAGGTACACTATTGCTAACTCAAAAGAGATGTGGGAGAGCAATTATTTTAAAATATACTCATTCATTTTCCTGTAATAAGATATCAGCATGACTTTTAAGACCACCAAAAATGCTTGTTTTTTCTCTTAATGAGCAGTATCTTCAAGAAATTTACACTTGAATCCTAGGCACTGATATCCCAAGGGGATAACGGAGGCACGAAACTGGGGAGCTGGGGTCAAAAATCCTGCTTCACCTCTCACTAAGCATGGGTTAGTGCTGCAGGAAATGTAAAGAGGAGCAGAATTTAATCCAGGACATTTCCAACCAGCTGCTAATGGGACTTTCTTTGCCACCTCTCAAGTAATAGTAAATGTGTTGCACATAGCTTTCAATTAGATTGTTATTACTAGAGGTTCCTGATAATAGCTGATTTTTAGTATAATTTCTGTGTTTGCTTGTTTTTCGGCAGCCCAATGGTAGCAGCCAAGGCAAGGTGCACAATCCATTCCTTCCTACCCCAATGTTGCCACCACCACCTCCGCCACCAATGGCTAGGCCTGTGCCTCTGCCAGTGCCAGACACAAAACCTCCAACTACATCAACAGAAGGAGGGGCCACCTCTCCCACTTCTCCAAGTAAGTATAGACGCAGCGGGAACCAAGGGCTAACGGCCGCGCACAACTGTTGGTCGCTGCTCAGAGATGAGGACTGGACTAGCTCTTGGGGAGCAGGAGAGCTCTCTGCTCTCTGTATGATGGACAAAATTCTGAGCTGCTTCTGTGTTAACAAGAAAAGCGTTAGCTTAAGGTTGCAGTTTTATTTCTGACTCTGTGGGCATTTCACGTAACCACACGTGAGAGAAATCAAGGCCAGTAGGTAATCTGTGGCACACACACACCTCGGACCTTTGGAATCTTGTTTGTTGCCATAAGGAGGCAAGTTCATATCCCACGCAAGGAATGGTTCAAAGCCAGACTGGATGGGGCTTGGGGCTCTAAGCAATTTGGTCTAGTGGAAGGTGTTCCTGCCCATGGCAGGGTGTTGGAACTGGATCTTCCAACACCCTTCCAACCCAAACCATTTTACGATTCTGTGATGATAAATTGGTGTCTCAAGCCAGGCTTTAGAGGATAGATGCTCCATGGAAGTCAGACAGTCTTATCAAAAACATCGCTGCTTAGACATATCTGGGCTAAACTAACAACTCTTTCCAGTTGACTTCAATTATAGTTCTTTTGGGAATAAGTCTTCCTAGATCAACCCAGACATCTTTCCCTTATGCCTTGCATTTTGGGCAAGAAGTTTTGGTATGTTTCAGGGCTAGGGAGAAAGCTTTAATCCTCTCTCCACCACCCACACTGCTCCCATATGCATTTTGTGAAGCCACAAGTCAAATATATGAATTCCTGGATACACACATGGGGATACCACTTTGGACTCACTCTTCTGGGAAACAAATGCAGTTCAGCTGTGTCTGATGCTTTAAAAAAAAGTCTGGATGTTCAGGGAGTTAATTGTGAAATGATTTAATGAAGCTATGCTCAAACTGACATTTAAAAACAAAAGGGAAGCTTTCAGTGCTTTAATGGCAACTGTAGGGGACTTGTTCCACAGTGAAGGGAGTCCAAATAACATCCACAAACAAAAATCAATCTAATCGAAAGAGCAAATCCCTTTGTGTGCTTTTCAAGCTTATTATTTAAATGCTATATGCAACCACTGCTTGATGTGCAAAGAGGTACTCACTATTCAAGTGAACAAGTGAAGCCTACATTTTTAAAGCTTTATATACTGTTCAGGAGATTTGCACAGGTTCCAGGGGGCATTTTTAAGATCTGGGAGTTCTCAGGGGTTTGCATTGCCTTCTGCTACACGATAGCGCACAACTGCAAACTCAGCAAGATGCTCTGGCTTGCTTGGAAATTAAAATGGGTTTTAGTATGAGACAGTCTGGTAAGACTGTGAACACGATCTTCTAGAATCAGGTCTTCCTGAACTGATCAGCAGATTTTTGTTGAGCAAAGAAGTTGATTCGTTCTCTCCCCTCTGCTCCTCTTTCTGACCTTAGACCAACACTTGTGCTATCAGGAAGTTTTGATGCTCTCTGATGAGAGATACTGTCTTTCGAGTCCTATCAATAAGATTCAGTAGTGGAATCTAAAAGGTTAACGTTTAGTCATAGTTATCACTGAATAAAGTCAGCAATGCCTTATTATTTCCTTGTCTTCAGAACCGGGAAAAACAAAACTAGGTCAGTGTGTACTTGTCATTACAGTTGTGACTCAGTTTACTGGCAGTGTCTGGTGTCGAAAAGAAAAAAATTCCCAACATCATTTTAGCAGTAATCTTAATACTTAATGTTTATGATAATGTCATTGTGTAAACAAGCTCAATGTGTGTCTGGTCTGATTCTCAGCTGGCAGAAAAACGGGCATTTCTCCGCTGAAGTGAGCAGAACACCCGTCGGTGTCGGCTGGGGCTGGCCACTGGGCTCAGCGTTCAGCAGACAGCTGCCACGTTAATTGGGAATCGAGGTTTTCTCAAGAGCAGCCAGTTAATGGTATTTAAACAAAAGATTAGGAAAATAATTACTGTTTGTTAATTAGCTACGCTGATGTCTAAACATATAGTTCTGTGCATATTCAGGCACGCATCTTCCTTTTGGTAAGGGGCTTGAATAACAGTGACTTGAGTTGTAAAGAAGCATATAATTTAATTTAGGGACAAATTTTACAGAAAAGTAGATTATAGGAAACATTTTCTAAGAAAAAATATTACATATACACCAAAGCCAGTGGAAGTATTGGCCACGTGAAGAGTAAAGCAAACTGAAGTTGCAAGCCTCCTCAGTGAGGGTTTGCCAGAAGGACCCACTGGACTCCATTCAGTGTGTCAATCAGAACCAACCCTCCATTTCCTCCAGTGTTTATTTTTTCCTTAACTAAATATTAGCCTTCAAATAGCAAGTGCAGATTCACCAGAGTTCCATAAAAGCTGCACAAAAAGGTGTTTTCCATGGTTACGAGCTGCTGGAGCGCACCAGTTCTGGGAGTGTCTCTGGGCTATGGCTGACTGCCCTGCAGAGCCTGAGGATATTGGAAAGTCACTTATGCAACAAAGGCAGGAGTGATGTTAAATTTTGGCCAGACTCTCTCCTTAGTTGTATGGAGGAGAATGAAGCCTCCCCCATCCAAGGAAATGGAGTGAAAGGGGTTGGCATTTGCTCCATTCTCCTTCCCTTTTTTGGTCTAGCAGAAAGCCCTCAGCAGAAACAAAATGCAGTCACGGCCCAACCAAAAATTGGAATATGGCCCTCCTGAGGGGTGCAGGAGCCAGGAGCAGCTGTTCAATACAGCATGGCCTCCTGGGAACGAGAGCTAAAAATCACAACAAGGTGGTTAATGATTCTCAGAGCAATAGTGAAACTCTCCAGCTGTGACATTAACCAAAACATGAACATTAGTGCTGTCCAAGGAAGGAAGAGCCCCTGGAGATCCACACCAGGGATTTGACGCTACTGGGTGGCCAGACACGCTCAGGGAGTTGAAAATTTCAAATGCGAATCCTATCCTTTTGGAAAGCCAGCATTTTCCTCAATGACATGGCATAATGGAGATGGGATTCATGAGGTTTAGGGCGGTTTATTTTTCCTCCATAAAAAGCTTTTTCAATAGAACACATCTTTGATATCAGAAGCAGTCCCAATATTATCTTATCTCAATCTCTTCTTGATTTTCTTTGGTTTGTAACCCTTAACAAGCACAACACAGTATTTTCTTGAACTTGATGGTTTGGGGGTTTTATATCTCACTGCCCAAAGCAAAACCACCTCCATTAGATGCCAGTTGAACTTTAGCACTATCATAACTGAATCAGAATGTTAGAATTTGTGGCCCTCATTCCAGTGCAGAGGCTAAGATAACTGCCATCCTGTACACCCTGATTTTTAAAAAGCTTTTTTAAACTAAATGTTATTTTCTAAGATTCACAACTCTTTACAATTTTAACAAAGTCATTATTGATTAATGTCCCTTTGCACAAAGTAGTTTTTGTGTTAAACAGTAATTGTGTCAGGATGAGGAGAATGATCTTGTGATTGTAGTACTGCATTCATAAAGCCAAGTGCCAGGTTCTGCCTTTGGGTCACAACAACCCCATGGAGCACTCCAGGCTGGGGACAGAGTGGCTGGAAAGCTGCTGGGAAAAGGACTTGGGGGTGCTGGTTGACAGTGGCTGAACATGAGCCCAGGTGTGCCCAGGTGGCCAAGAAGGCCAATGGCACCCGACCTGTACTAGCAACAGTGTGGCCACAGGACGAGGGCAGTGACCAGCCCCCTGTGCTGGGCACTGCTGAGGTCACACTTCAAATCCAGTTGAAAGACAGAGGGGTTGGAGCGTGTCCAGAGAAGGGAATGGAGCTGTCAAAGGGCCTGGATAGTTAGTCCTGTGGGGAGCAGCTGAGGGAGTTGGGAGGGCTCAGACTGGAGAAAAGGAGGCTCAGGGGGGACCTTTTCACTCTCTCCAACTCCCTGACAGGAGGGTGGAGCCAGGTGGGGGTCAGGCTTTGCTCCCAGGGAACAAGGGACAGGACAAGAGGAAACGGCCTCAAGTTGCACAGGGGAGGTGTAGGTTGGATATGAGGAAAAATTTCTTCACAGGAAGAGTAGTCAGGCACTGGAACAGGGACAGTGGTGGAGTCCTCAACCCTGGAGGGATTTAAAAGCTGTGTGGATGTGGCACCTGGGGACATGGGTTAGTGGTATACTTGGCAGTGCTGGGTTAGTGGTTGGATATAATGATCTTAAAGGTCTTTTCCAACCTAAACAATTCCATGATTCTGTAATGAGATTGGATTTCTCTCCCTTTCTCTGCTGTGCATTGACTAAGCACCCTCTGGGCAAGCCGTTTGAGCTTTCTTTTTGCTCCTTTTCCCATCCATAAAAAAGAGGGTGATGACTGCATCATTTTATTTCGTAAAATTTGCAGTTCCCTCTAAGATACTCATCTGCAGAATGCACTGCAGTAGGAATTGCTGTGTTGCACCACATTGCTTCATTTAATCCTCTCACTACAGCTCCACAACAGCTAAACTAATTCCTGGTCCCTTGAGAAACAGGACAACTCTTCATATCAAATACATGTACCTGTCAACTTGGTCTGTAAAAGAGAGACCTGGTAGTACATTAGGTCATCACTCACCCAAATCATCCTTACCAAGCAAAAGTTAATCCTTTTAATCCAGAACTGTCTGATAAACTACACACTCTAATACTTAAAAGCAATTATTTCAGGAAAGTATATTTAAATTAACATTTTCCTGCTGAAGGCAACTTTAAAATACATGACATTCCCAAAACTGTTTGTTTGTCTTGTCTTTCATACAATTTCTTGCCATTTTGGCTAAATATCAAAGCTGTCCGTGTGAGCAAATGTTCTTTCTCTGCCAGCTCCTGTTTTCCTTGTTCCTGAAGTGAAGCATCATAGCAAATTTGTGGCATCACATTCATTTCCTTGACTATGGGCTAGGATGTTGCAGACAATCCTTAGTGAATTCCAGTAACAGAAACGCCAGGCTGGACAGGAAGATGTTCCTATTCATGCCCCATGGGACAGATATCAGCTGGTGTAAACTAGTATAGGACTATGCAATTCCCATGGAGCAAAGCTGATAAGATCTGGAGAAGATCTGCCTAAGACACCTGGCTCCCATTCCTTGTTCCTTTCCATGCTTTGCCCTTTCCCAAACTGGAGTTTGAAGACTCCACCATAGGCTTAGCTTGTATGTATGCTATAATATAATACAAACCAGCTTTAACGTGTGAGAGCTGTTTACCCCATCCTAATCTCAGAGCAGAGTCTAGGGATCAGACTTCCAGGAATTCCACTTCCATGTCAAACAAGGGTATTTATATGAAGACGGTAAGAGAGTAGAAACAGTGTTGGTCGTGGGCTAAGCAACATTCGGTGCTACTCCCTTTTCTGAGCCTAATAGGAGTCACTGCTGATGTGTATTCCATGTAAATTTAATATTCCGAGCCAAAATGGCCCCTTACCGTCTGCAAACAAGTCAGGATATTTTACAGTGAAGTGGGACTTAGCACTTTGGGAGAGTCCAGTGTAAATCCTCTGCATATATGTAGTTTTGGTGCTCTTCCCTCCTTGGCTCTGGCAATGCAGTTATATGACCTTAAGGAAATACCAAGCTGACATCCGAGTATTTTCAGAAAGCAAGTTAAACATTGTTCGGAGTGGAAGAAAGGTATACATAGCAACTCACCCAGCAAGCATTGAGGGGACTTTTGTGCATATTACACAGTTTTCGAAAGCTTTTGAATTTTTGTTTGAACAGAGAAGCCATTTAAGTCAGCATTCTGCTGGTTTCCCTTTGATTTTATACCAAATATCACAGCAAAAGTATCTGCCAACAGGGAACTGTAAACAAGATCTTGAGTTCCTTCCCTTCTGAGTGGAACTTACCTGCTCCAAGGGATTAAATGGCCTCTTCACTCAATCTGCTTCCTTAAAAGTAGACCAGAAGAACCAAACAACAGATGTTTGATTTTTTAGCTTTAAGTTAATTTTCCCCACTGCAGAAGGAATTTTTAGTCTTGCAAAACATTAGTTCATTAGTTAGTTAAAAAAAAATACCTCAGCATAAAACAGTACAGAAGAATGTTAATACGTGGCACTAGCAACAGAGAGATACCCTTTGCAAAAGTGTGGCTTCTTTGAATTATTAAAAAATTACATGGTAAAAGGTGAGGAGAACATCTCACCACATCTACTCAGTTCATTTCTTCCTTGATTTGCAGGTAGGAGTAACAGCCACCGTACCTGTTTATACTCAAACACTTAAGCGGCACCACAGTTTGCAAAACCATCTCAGAAAGATGAATTAGTGCACTTAAAAATTCCTTTAAAATTATGTGAAGGAGAGGTGTTTCTTGCATGATTTTTGGAAGTGTTAGCTCCTTGGAGAGAAAAGCTCACCTCACCAGAAACAAGTGGGAAGAATTCATTCTGAAAAGCCAGGAGTGCTTTATCTCCTCTCATATCAGTAGGAAATGAAGATATGCAGTTCCTGGGGTGATTTTAGGGAATGCTCTCTGAGAAAAGGAAGCTGTCTGATGTAATTGTAAGAACTAGGAGGCATCACAAGACATTTGTGAGACTTGGGTAGGCAGGGAAGGATATGGGTCTGGGTGCTCCCAGACTTGGGAACTTATCATCCAAGGGCTTTGTGGGATGCAGAACATTTACATGGGCTGAAGGGCAGAGAGGGCATTCACCGGTGAGAAATCCCTTGAGGGCCATAAAATACAGGGAGACCATGAGCTGAAAATAATCAGAGGTGGGAAAGAAGAGAAGAAAGTAAATGTGTGACCTGCTTTGGCAGTTCCCTGTGTAACTGCTTATGGTCTTTTCAGGACAGTGGATAAGGTGGAGCATTGATACGGTTCAACATGGCCTTAAACCAAAGGTTGCTCCAATTTAATCCCTCTTCACCAAATATTTGCCTTCAGAAAGGCAACAGGGTTTCCTCTACACAGCCAACTCAGCGTCTTCTCGGACTCTTAACTCACTTTATTTTTGAGTAACATTGAGGCCTGAATATTATATTTAGCCTGACTGGGATTTGGCAACTAACTTTCCTTTTAACAGTGTTTTTTGTCTCTTCATTGGATGGTTAGATTGTCTGGGGATTTTATTCAGCAGAATGCATTCCCATAAATATATTTAAAATAGACAGGATCCCTGTTTGTATTAAGGCATCCATTTGGGTTGTTTGAATTTAGATCTAAATATGCAAAAAACTGAAGATGGGAGAAGATTGCGTGGGGGGGTTTCAAGTGAGAGGAAGACTGAAAATGCATTGAAAGCTTTTGGATGTGGAAGTACGTGGCATTGTGGACAGTTGCAGTGGAGAATATAATGCAACAGTAAAATCATTAAAGTACTTCGAGTTTGGAAGTAATCTGGGTTCTTGGCTTGCATTGCATTTAATAGCTTTACATTTATGGGAGCCACTCCAGTTTTTAAAGGCAGCTTCAGCCTTCAGACTGATTGCACTTACCACCCCAGTGAAACTGCAACCCATTAATTTTTTACCGAAAGGATCTTCCTAGTTTGTCGAACACATCAAGTGAACATTTTAGAGAGTGCAGACCACAGCAGTATGAAAACCAAAACTTTATATCAAGAGAGAATGCTGGATTAGCATGAAATAATGGTCTGGTTCTGTTAATATGGACTTGGGTAAATTCATTGCTATAGAAAACTCTGTTAAAAATAAAGATACCAGACATTGGAGTGAAAACAGTCAGGACCTGCAGAAGTCTCCTGTGCCAGCCCATCATGGAAAGGCCTGCAGTGGTTCTCCTTCAAGCTGGAGAGCTGCACAGGTGGCCCAGCACACCTTTCCCTGAGCCCACATCACAGCCGCCCCCTCTCCCAGCAGCCCAGTCCCCTGCGTGTTTATATCCTCACCACTGAGACCAAAACTTTCCAGTATCTAAAACCAAACTCTTGCTCTCTAAAACGTTTGCACATTTCTATGTTGAACATCTGCTTAGGTGGCTCTGAGACAGTGTGTTTTGGTGTTGTTCGTGTGCAATCTAGTGCCGCTTCCTCAACGCATGTGTCCCTTCCCTTCACAGCCTACTCGACACCCAGCACCTCCCCCGCAAACCGATTCGTCAGTGTTGGACCACGGGATCCAAGCTTTGTAAATATCCCTCAACAGACTCAGGTGGGCCGCTTTCGACTTCTCTGTATGCCTGCAGCCTCTTTTTCTTCTCCAGTGTCCTCTAACGTGTCCCCGCGGAGCAGCTGCATTGCCGCTGTCACTTCACCCACATGGTCTCAGTAACTACAGTGAAATGTCACCTGCAGTTTGTTTGTCTGTTGTGTTTTTTTTGGGCTTGTGTAGTAATAACACTGCTTTCGTAACTGGAAAGATCTCTCTTGCTTTCTAAGATATTGGCTTCCAGCACGCAGTTGTTTCTGCTAGGACTGGGGTTTCAAAGAATTTGGCTGCAACCTGCTCCCCAGGCACTGCATTTAATTGTGTTTAGATTAGATGGTAGGAAGAAACTCTTCCCTGTGAGGGTGGTGAGGCCCTGGCACAGGTTGCCCAGAGAAGCTGTGGCTGCCCCATCCCTGGAAGTGTCCAAGGCCAGGTTGGACAGGGCTTGGAGTAACCTGGTCTAGTGGAAGGTGTCCCTTCCATGGCAAGGGGGTTAGAAGAAGATGATCTCTAGGGTCCCGTCCCACTAGACACAATGAGAGACTGATCCAATGATTTCCATGGAAAAAAATATTCAAATTCCTGATTGGCTGTTTGCATGGTGGGCTTTGAGCAAGCAGGAGATTTTGTAACTGCAAGCACATCTGTTTCCTTACACAAAGAGAAAAAAGTCCAGTTGAGGCAGGCACATAAAGCTGGGTTAGCTGAATTCATAGTCCTGCTATGGTCAAATCAGAAGCTCAAGTAAACATTTGTGTTTCTTTAGGAGAAGGACAAGGTTTAAATGTGCGTTTTCCAAGCTGTATCGGATTCCCAGGGTCGATTAAGAAAATAGTTGCTGGCAGTTTTGTTAGCAGTTAATTTGAGCCAGATGTTGAAAAAATTAAGTCTGTGCTTAATATCACGTTATCATGGGGGGGAGGAAGGTATAAAAAAGTGAGCAGAGCCAGTACTTTAGACAACTGTAGTTTGAAGTGATTGCTTGACTACGTTACAATTATTTTAAAGGTCAACGACACAAAATATTTGTAATTTTGTTTTGAGCTGGTTGCAATGACTAAAAAGTAGTAATTCAAATAGCTAGAAAACTGGGGAGTACTACCCTTAACGCTTCTAAGTTCTTTCAAACCTTTTATAGGCATCTGAATAATTAGTGTACAGATTAATGGCTGTCACATGCCACAGTAGATGCACGAAGACAGACTCTTCATTGTGATGGCTTCAGCACCTTTGCTGTCACTGAAACACAAGTCACTCGCTCCCAAAGATTTTCAGTTTACAGGGCTGCAACCAGCTGCCTGTGAACACAATGCATTTTCTTGCTGTCTGCTATTTGTGTACCATTTGTTAGGGGCTTTAGTTTATAGCTCTGTGCACAGCACAGGTTAAACTACATCAAATCTCAAACCTTCTCTGCATTAAATAGGGTCACAGAAAGTACAGCAGCAATGCAGAGGGGGGTTTAACCCATCAGATTCTGGGGTTTTTTTTCATGCCTTAACAAAACGCAGACTGCACCCCACTTTTCAAGCCTCTTCCTTTATTTGGTTCATGTATGTTACAAGTTCTCACGCACCCTCACATTTAAATCATATGTCTCTGGTCATTTTGATAACAACTGGAATACACAGAAATACGCTGAAATTGGGAAACAGGAATGTTAAGGTATACTGCTCAGGAAACCTGAAACCCTTTGGAGAATGCAACTTCTCCAGAACACTTGAAAAACTACTAGTTGGTAAATTGATTATGTAGTAAGACTCTATACTATTAAGTCTCAAAAAATATTTAAAACTTATTTGCATCCTGCAGCCTAAGTTTCTCAGATAAGTTTGTCGACTGTAAACTTTTATCCTTCTTATTTATGACTTAAATAATTTTAAAGTGCTCTAGCGTTACTTTAAGTGCTTCCCTGTAATGCAGTGTAGTGAATAACAATGCTATACAGTGAAAAACAATACTCAAGCACAGCTTTCAATTAAAGTCTAACATGCTGCAGTAGGGAAGGAGACTGACTCCCAGTCTCTGGCTCCAGCTGCATCTCCATGCTTCTATACATCATTACACCACCACAACCAACTTGATACTAAATATATAATTTATCAGCAAAACTCACTACTTATTCATGAAAGAACTCAGAAGTTGACTGTGCTTTGAGTCAGAGAAGTGAGGTAAAAATGCTAACTGCAAGGAATTGGGATTTGTGTAGATTTCCTCTAAACAAAGACAGGCTTTTGTGCTTTTTTTGCAGGGTATCAGTGTATAGGACGATCACTTAGGATATATTCAAAATGAAAATATAAAAATACATAGGACTGTGTTATTAAAAGCAGCTGGGGTGGCTGCTTTCCATTAGGATCTTTGTAGTACATTCAGAGCCAGGCTAAGATATGGGTCCTGAGGACCACTAACTACCAGGGACGCAGCTCCCTGAGACAAGAGGAAGCAGGGAACACTGAGCCTCTGGAAGTCAAGCTTAAATATAAGGGTTAATCAACTCTTTAATGCTGGAACAAAAAAATAAAATGAAGATTGTATCTGAAACATCTGCTTTTTAAAAATTAGGGCCCAGCTACAAGCTATAGGACAATATTATGGTCAGCTATGGTGGCTCTGATGTTCTCTTTCAGTTGGAACGTTGGACTACAGACACTAGTTGCACATCATCATCATTAGTCCTCAAATGCTGCAAAAGCGAGTCTGTGCACAGGGATGTGGCAGCCATGTTCAGCAGAAGTCGCAGTTCCCATACATGGGCATTCATGGAACCTTGGAATAAAATCCCAGACAAATGTACAACAACATGGCTGGGTTGGAGCAAGGATCATTCTGTCCTGGGCTGCTCTTAAACAACCAAACCCAGAACATGCCTTTCTTAATGGGTTTTAACCTGTAAGAAAAATTAACAGTAGACATTCCCATTAGCAGTACGTTCTGATTTATGTCACGTTCCATCAAATATAATCCCTTAAAGGAATTTTATAGAATTTATATTATATTTATAAAAAAGCTGTCTTCCTGTGTCAAAAAAGGCTGTAGCAGGATGACCACTCCATGACAGAAGAGACCAGGAAATAAACTGCTTTAAGTCAGTAGTTCTGATTCAGCAACAAATGCCCCCAAAGGGCTGTTGGCTTTGTCTGGTTTTAGCAGCTTCCAAACTTTTCAGATGGTTTGTTTTTCCGTATACAGCTTACTCCATCCATCACTCTGCCACTCCACTCACATAATTGTCCTATCTGGGAGGTTATTTGAATCTAAATTTCTGTTTGAGCTATTAGGAGCAACACTTGACTTGGCATCCCTTGTATATGTTGACGAAAAGGCACAGGTGTTGTAACCTTTGCTTGATAAATCATTTACTTTTGCTACTTGACTCGCAAGCAGTATGGGGGCATTGGCTTTTTAATTGCCTTTTCCATATGCAAATCAGAAATACAGTATGCCTGGGGTACACGGGCTTTAGTTTCAAAAGCAAGTTGGTCTGGATACCTCATGACTAAGTAATAGATAAGCCTCTCATATTGCCAAGGACTTGTAATAAGGAGAGTGGTAGAGGGATGGGAAAATACCATCACATTAATTAGGGGCGAGCTTCTTGGTAGCAATAACACTAATAAAGGGTTCTGAATTTGGGAGTTTTTTCCTAAAATTAATACTGAAACATGGGCTATGGGAATGCTAAACCAGCAACCTGCTCCCTGTGACCAGAGTTTATGTTGTCACTTGCCATTCTAAATGCTCTTTGCTGATCTGTAATGCCCTGGCTGTGCTCTAGAGTACAAAATTCCTTTAGGGATCAGTGTGCTGTATTCAGTGTATTGCAGCTCCACTTCACACTAGACATTGTTTACTAGGCTGAGTCCTGTTTGCCACCTACTTACCCCACATCTTCCTGGAAATTGTACTTAGGATGCTAAAAACAGCTCCTGAGAAACACATGCCTGCTCCATCTAATCGCTCCTACCTGCCAGTAGCCAAGTGCCTTATTCAGGGAGGTTATGAGGATGCAGGGAACACAAACTGCCTCCCACTGCAAGCACCAGGCAGAGGATCAACCACTTCACCTGTGAGAAACTAAATGGAGAGAAAGTGAATCCTGTACCCCTGACTAGCAGTTTCAGGAAAAATCCCTCTCTAATGTAAACACATTTTATATCAGATCCATCCTGGGTAGTTTCTAAAACTTAATTAAGCACAAACCCAAATATTTATTCCCGTACCTTTCTATATGGAAAGATAAACTGATTTCTAGGCAAACAGAAACTCCTTCTGCTTCTGCCTTTCCACGATCCCAAAGCACAGTCAGATCATGGATAATAAGCCAGGGTGTTTTCACACTTTCCCTGGTGAGGCCCTAGAACCACCCAGCTACAACAGAGCTCTAGAGAGAGCTCATCCTTTATAACACAAAACAACTGAAACAAAAGGCCTGTAACTTGTTTAGAACACTGAAACAAAGTTTAAGTAAAACCCCAAAAGTCAAACATGCTTATCTAGGCAGCAAAATGACAGGTACGAAAACCAGCTAGCTCAGCACAACAGCCTTATAAAGACCAGGTACAAAAATGCACCCTGTGAAACACATCTTAAAAAGAGCAATAGTAAGTTAGGGGGGAAATTACTGAAGTTTAACAAAATGTTTATAGGACAAGAAAATTGCTAACTCCTTTAGATCTGCTCCTGCTCCCTGCCTTTCCCAAATAAACAGTGGTATCTTTGTAGCTTCTCCTTTTAGGCTTTTATTTATCTCTAAAAAACCACCGTACGCCTCAGGTGCATACACAAACCTAATTGTACAATTACTTTCTTTCCGAGACACAAGGCAAAGCCTGTTTTACTTCCCCACAAGCCTTTTAGAAAGCGAACTGCAACCTGCAATTTTTCACTGGCAGCACTTTAAAACAAAGGGCATGAGGAAAAAAAATTAGCTGGATGCTGTATCCTGTAGGATAGCAGATGTTAGCTCTGTCAGACCAAGGAGGGAGGCAAATTCCAGAGTC